AGGACGTCTCGGCCAGGGCCGGGGAGCCGCGGTGGGCTGGGGGCTGCGCTGCCGCCCGGGTGCCACCTGGGTCTCCTTCGGGGTCTCGTGTTTGCTGCGGGCCGGGCAGGCCCGTCCCGTCGCTAGGGCAGCTGGGCAGGTAATTTAGCAAGAGGAGACTGGGTCGCCAGAGCCTCATGCGGTGAGTTTGCGTCTGACCTGGGTGAAACGAATAACTTTAGGGATGGGCAGCTTAGTATTCGGTTATGAGTCTGGGGGCGATGAGAAGGGAGCTGGAGATAGCCACTGTTTTATTTGAGGCACGAAATGCTGTGTGGGGGGAATACTATAAAACGTAGCGACGAGAGGGCGTAAGGAAGTGATTTCTAGAAATGAAGACTACCTGTTGGTGAAACTGAGTTCATGTTTCAGAGTCCTGCGTGCCTCTGGCGTTTTTGTTGGACTTTTCAGACTTGTGTGTGTTTTTTTAGAAGAACTTCTAGTTCCATGACTTGGAAGTGCTAGTGGTATTTCCAACATGCTGTGTCTTGAAATGCTTTGCAGACGAAGGGTACATCGTCCTTCGGCAAGCGGAGAAACAAGACGCACACTTTGTGTCGCCGATGTGGGTCCAAGGCATACCACCTGCAGAAATCCACCTGTGGGAAGTGTGGATATCCCGCTAAGCGCAAGAGAAAGTGTAAGTAACAGGTTTCTAACTGACTTGAGTTTAAAAACTGGTGTTTCTTTGTCTTCTTCAGAAGCCTGACAGTCTTCCAGCCAAGGAGGAAAACTGTGTCATATTGCGGTGTTAGGAGCTTTTTACTGTGCAGTATTACTGAATAGAGATCAACTTAATTTATAGGGTGTTTTTTTTTTTACTTCTGTCAGATTGAATAGCTGTGCGAGTGTAACGTGCAACCTAATTATTTGGTGCTGATGAATGACAGTAGCTTGTCTGTTTTAGATAACTGGAGTGCAAAGGCTAAGAGACGTAACACCACTGGTACTGGTCGCATGAGGCACCTGAAAAAGGTCTACCGCCGATTCAGGTATGATATTTGGCTACATGTTAGTGTTGTGTGAAGTCTTGCTGCATAGATAACACTTAATTATAGATTTCATCCTTCTAATTTACCATTTTTATTTGTCTGTACACTTACTGTGGTATAATCTTCAGTATGTCATTAAATAAGTGATGCCTTATGTAATTGCATATTCCTTTGAGGATTAAAAAAACTGGTTTACTGCTAGTACAAAGGGTGTATAACAAGTTCTGATGTTTCTCTTAATTATAGGTAGTACAGAACACAGAGGTTGTTTTAATGCAATGTCCACATTTAAAAATATAAGCTTTGTGAATTACTACCTTTGTTGCCTCTTCTTATTAATCAATTAACTTGTCAGTTGCACTGAATTGTGGGGTTTTGTAAGGCACAAGTCCTTAAATGCATTCCAGTCCCCTTTTTCCCACAGAAGACAGTTGAGGGCTGGAATAAGTTCAGTAATGGCTCTCTTACTTGGGAGTTAAGTTAGCAGTAAGTTGCTGTAACATGAGATTCTGAGGTTTCTAAAACTTGTTACAAAGCTTTGAGTTGGACTTAAGAGGTAATGATGGGGATATTGTGCTGTTTAACTTAATGAGAATTTCTCTTTGACTTAAGCGTCCTAATTTTGAACTCTGTAGCTTCTGGACCAATACACAAGAAAGCTGGATGAAAAAGGCCATGTAATTCAAGAGTCTTGTGTAAATGTATTTAATGGTGAAAGTAGAAGCCTAAGGGGTGGGTGTAGTTAAGAGATCCATTCAGCTGTTTTTTTCTGGTGAGTGCTGTCTATCTCAGCAGAAGGGAGAAGATCCCTTGTGCAGCTACAGCCTACTTTCCTCTGAGTGTTGCTGAAGCAGAAATGTCCAGTGCAAAAGCAAGCCTGGGGCTCACTCTTCTCTCTTATGCCAGTCTTAATCTCTGGCTGGAGACATAGAGGGCTTGCACGTGAATTGCTCTTAGGCTACAGTTCAGGTCTGCTGACATGTCAGACCTACAGGGACCAGGTCCTTCTGGGGAAATCTGGGAGTAAGTGATTGTGGAGCTGTTAAAATACACTTTGCATAGTACTGAAAAAAAAG